AATCATATTCTATTCACACATCACTGTCATCATGCATAATTTATTGCATACTTTTCCAAATGTAATCACAAAGCTATTATCTTTTCATTTGATTACCATTTTATGCAAGACACTTTCATTGATTTATTTTGTAGTCTTATGGCATAGGATTTTATAAAGTTGCTGCCAATCAATAGCAAATTCTACTTACAGAAAACTATTAGCACTTTCGTTGTCATTTTTACAAAATTATACTTTGTATACAATAGTTATTTGTGTTCCAAGGCTGTAAAATGATATTTAATGTGCAAATGAATGAAAATCGCATTCCTCTTGCAACAAACATTAAATGAGGCTTTGGAAAATAGATTTTATTATCAAGGTATTTGACTTTAATTTAATTAAAACTCATGTCAAAGTAGTGAAAATCTGAACAAAAATTACAAAAGTGTATAGGTAGATTTTATTTTTTTTTGGTTTGCATTACTAATTTATTCTAAAAATCGTTGCTCCAGAGTTTAGTAACATTTATTTTTGACTTACGGAAGCGAAAAGTTCACTACATATGCTATTGTGTACACATGTTTAATAATAGGAGTAATAAATTAAAAAAGAATACTTATTTGGTCATTTTCCTCGCGTTCTTAAAAGTAAGTAGTTATTAAATGCGTATTTGGCTTAATCAAACCCCAATTTAGTAAATTATTCATACTCGTTTTCCAACCGAATTAATTCCACCGATCTCGACAATATTTAGCTGGTAAAATCTCGAGGGTGTTTCCAGCATGAACAACCACTTTCTTAGTCGTAGCATGCTTTGATAGTTTACCGAAGCAATCTATTTTGGTGGTGTCAAACTTACAGTAACACAATTTGCAAAGTTTAGTGAAGTTTTGTTTCGATTAAATGCTTTTCATCAGGAATTCACCAATAATGCGCACGATTGTAGGTATACAAATCGGCTTTGGAAAAAACTGTTAAATTCAATTTAATTTAAAACTACTCAGTGAACAGTTTTTCACAAAGTTTTCAAATCAATTGTGAAGCCAATTCGAATTCATAAATGTATAAATTCTAGTTAGATCCGTTTTAATTGAATATGTACATTTTTAGCGATATTTCATTCACTACAACATGCTATAATTTGGTTAGTTAAATAGACAATGTTTTAAAAAAGCTTTTGAAGTATTCGCACATAGATGGATATAATCTGAAATTGAATTTTGCATGCAATTAGTCTTTACAGTAAAAAGGTACGCGTTGGTAATTTAAAGCTTTTTGCAATGAACATTTTCAGTCAGAAATTGCAATCAAAGGATATCCTTTATTAGATTAAATGAATAAATTACTTCTGAAATGTAGCTACCACATATCTGGATGATTCAAATGTGCGGGAATACTTTCCGCTTAATATGGCTCATACTTTTATCCGATTGAAAAACTTTATTTACATATAAGTCAATTTTGTCTGTGTTCTCACAAATGTTTCAAAGGAAAAAATTCAATATTGGAAAATATTCCTGTTTTTCAATATCTATTCAGGTAAGTGCCCCAGTTTCAAGTGACGTTTCATCATCCATCAAGAAGAAATTTGAGATTTTATTAGAGACGAGTGATAGCACGAATATATTAGAAACAGTTACATCAAACGCCGTTTGAGACTGATGCTTAATTGCATGTCTCTGATGAGACCTGCGACGGGTTGTAATTGGAGTAAAATGATTGATGACGTGTCATATCTGCAAACTTATCATTGTGCCACTCGTTACATTAGCATACGATCATGCTATAAAGGCAAGTTTGTCAACCGACCCATTAAAAAATCAATAACTCACAAATGGTATTTTGTGTTGTTACTATGGTCTTAAATGTTATCTCTTAAATGTCTGAAATTCATATTCAACAAAAACCTAGCAGAACGTAAAAAAATATTAACACAAAAGAGTGCAGTTTTAACATTTAAAAAGAGTGATGGGAATTTTAAAAATTTGTGTTTCCTATTTAGTTACAAACGCTGATACAAATGATGTTATCGTATTGTATGGTATAGAGAAAAGTTAAAATATTTGTAGAGCTATTTTTCTCATTTCTCTCATTCTTTGCCGGGCACAAAGCATTTAAGTATTTAGAAAATATGAGATAAAACTTAATTATAATTATAAAATTTTAACCTATACTTCGCAAACTCGAGGAAACATTTTTCATAGTTTTTTTTTAATAGAATTATACTTTATTTTTAACTACTTAATAAAATATTGATCTTTGTACTAATTTGGATATAATTTTGGATTATAATACTTTTGAAGGGGGGTGCAGTTCATAAAACGATCACTTCCAAAACTCCTTTTATCAAGCCCTGCTAAAAGTCGTCATTTCTAAAATTTAAGCTGAAATAGCTAACTTGTTATTTCTAGTACAGTGCAATCAAAAAGCCTGTCTACCAAGCAAGGCTAGAAATATAAAACGTGTGTCTGCGGACGATAGGATGTCATAATGACAAATGTCAAAATAATTTTTATGTAAACTGTAACAGCAAATGGTGGTGAACGATTTGTATGAATAAACACGAACTACATCTCATTTTAGGGTGTTTTAAACGTTTTATACAGTAATTCAGTTTGCGTAGATCAATATTTTAATCGTTATAAAATTATTTTTTAACGTCTATCTAACATACGAAATGCCAGGCGACATACGTCCTCAACTAGTACGCCTACTTGAAAGACTTTTTGATCGGAATGTATTATACAAAAAAAGCCTTATTTCTTGCAAATTTAGCGGAAAAAGTCGTGGTGATATGTAAATTGCCTTTGATTGCATATCTCAACTGGAGAAAAGGAATTTGTAAACGGACAACCAGGATAATAATTATGAAAAAACAATTTCAATTTTATTTGATGTCTGCAAGAATAAGCTAGTAAAAATTATTAGTCTAAAATTTTTTTTCTTAAAAAAGAAATAGGAAAACAAAGAAGAAAAATCCTCTTTATTCAAGAAAAGTATAATAATTTGTTCTCAAATCGTAACCTGTAATTTTTAAATAAAATTATATTTATCTACGTTATAATTATACATCATAATTATACAAAGTTCTTAGCAACTATCGGTCTATGAGACACCATGAAAGTGGTATTTACTAATAAGATTTCAAAACAGATGTCAAAACAATTATGAATTTTTTGCCTCTTGTTGTGAAGGATTTGATTTTTGATAATTTGCTACACAAAGTATGACGTTCCAAAATAGTCAGTTTTAGAAAATGCAAATTAATATGCCAAAATTGGGAAAGTGATGAAGTACCTAGCGCAAATTACAATGAACATGTTTTTCACTTATTATTACACTAGTTTACACGATTTTTGTACCATAGTTGAAAGTTATAATTTCTTATAGATTTTGAGTTCAAAAAAATATTTAAAAAAGCCTACCACGTCACGTTTAAGAAATATGTAATTAACAAAAATACTAAAACCGCCAAACAATAAATTAAAAATTAGTTATTTACTTTGTTTTTACACTTTTTCGATCAGTTTTCTTTATAAAGTCCAAGAGTAATATATTCATCTCAAAAACCTTTATGCTGATCTTTGAAAATCCTTCAGATCTTGATCAGAACGCTCGCCCTGTTCGTTACTCATGCTGTCTATTAGTTTTTAGAAAAGAAGTCCAAATGCGATTGAATGAAATGGATTTTAAGACCCATCTGGTGATAATTTTGCAATAATTCAGCAACAATTTGAATTTTAAGTAGATTTTAAATCGGGGGCATTGTGCAGAAAGCAGGAAAATTATCGTTCCTAACAAAAAACTGTACGTGAAGAAAATTTACTATATATTATTTTTGTTTAATTAAAGGTAAATAAACATAAAAATAATAATTTTATTAAAGGTATATTAAATAAGTTATTATTTGTGATACCTATTCGTAGTGTTAATATCCTGTTTCAAAAAGAACTGAATAGTATGGCTCGTTTTTTCACTTTATTAATGCCTAATTATGCATGAAATTTAGAATACACTTGCACACAACCACAACAAAAATGACACTCCTAAATGCAAACAAAAATCGGGAATGAATTGTATCATTCAGAACAAGGAAGTAAAATATAAAGCATCATATTTAAGCTATGAAACGGTCAATTTAGTATCGTTTTACTGGTACATAATAATATTATTTCTGTTTAGTCTAATTCTAAATTTTAGCTTGTGAGTAGGGAAAAAAAATCAAATGCTGCTTCTTGCTTCCATGATTTTAAGATGAAAATAGTTAGATAATTGAATTACTCACTCTCAGTAACGCGTCCACCTATGTTCCTCGCCCATTTAACTTAACTAGAGTATTATGCGTAAATTAATTAAAGATTTTGCTGAAAGGGTCTAAATATACTTGACACTGCACTCCAGCGCAACTCCATCTTCCATGCCTATTTAACCGAATAGTAATACCTGCAGGTAATTCAATTGATTTCCATCACAAAAGTCGTAAAACATGGAAATAAGAGGCAAATATCCGATAAGTGTTCAAGCAATCTAATTAAAAGCGGCTTGTAACTTGGTAAGTTTCAAAGAAAAAGTACTGCACTATTCATAAAACTTAAAAGGGTTAAAAGGGTTAACGTTGGTTTTAAGTCAGAACCGGACTTCACAATGCGTTTAGTCACGTAAAATATGGTGTGAAACATTACCGTATGAACATACAGCTATTACAATTGGAATGGAAAGAGAGTAATCGGAAACTCACTTCATTCAACAGCCATATCTGCATATTTCATCGTAAAATATTTTATGGCTAGTCCGGGTAATGTTAATCAAGAAAGATTTATGAAAGGCGTAAATTTTAACTTTTAATTAAGCACTCGTGTGAGGATATTTGGTTAGAGATTGAAATTGGAATCAATTTTGTCTAGGTTTTGTAGGCATAGACCAAACTGTGCATAACACTAAGAAGAGATGTTTACTTACCTTGGATTAAATTTCTTCATTTTCTGAGAGTTCTAAGAGAGTGGATAAATAAGAAGCAGTTGAAATTTAAACAATAAAATATAATTAAAATCGTATACAGTTTGAAGCATACAGACAGTTTACATAACTAGGAGTACTATACACACAATTACAAATAATAATTTGCTGTACACGGTCAGGAAAAAATATATACAAAACCCATTTTGTGCTTGTGTAGTTCTTCAACCAAAATAATTTTGTAATGGCAGTATCCACAAACGAAAAGTAAATATTGTGCATTTATAATTTTTGTTAATATAAAATTTGATATGTTCTACCCTATATATATCCTTTTTAATTTATTATAAAGCTATATTGTTTTTGGATACAAATCATCACTGGATGCTTTAAATATTCATCCATTTTTAATGAATTAGCATAATGTTGCTTTACATCTAACAGCAAACCTTTTTTGTCGTATTTCATGAACTGCACAGATATATTTACATGGTTAAATAGACAAAGATAAGTACAAAAGATTATTGGGGTCAATGAATATTTCATATAAAAACCTACAGCTATTCGAAAACTACAAGAATATATTAAATATTTTTTTACAAATTGTCAACGAAAAGAGTGCACACTTCTGTTTGATGGTACTCTGAGAAAAATTATTAGATGGTCCCTACACGATTATTACATGGCACAAAATATGGCTACATTGAACACTGTGAATAAGTAGTTGCTTAAAGAGTATACATACAGCGTCAATAGCGACGTCAATATCACTGTTATAACTTTTTTCGATGAAAATTTCAGTCAGAGTACCACTTTTAAACATTCATTCATCTAATTAACGTACTCATAGAACGTACCTGATCACATTTACTACCAATGTAAAACTTCCAATTAATTTAATTACGTATATAAAATCTCACTTTCTATATTTTGACATTCACATGGATGTACCATGAAATTTTACGATAGACAGTATAATACGTTGTTGAAGGTATGTTTTACAGATAATTGCTTGTAAAACGAGCAGTCTGTTTACGTTTATATCGTGGTAATCAAAGTCCAAATAAGTATTTTTTGTTTTTAACAAACAACCGTTTAAATACTTCCTACAAACGAAGTATTTTTGGCATAAACGGTCGCCTGCATAATTAGTCAAAAAAAGATAAAACGGGCATTGACATATCACTACACTATAGTTTTACCAACCAGAAAATCAGATCATCAAGTTTAATGTTACTTACGGGTTGTATGTCGAATGAAGTCCTAAAACCAAAAAATTGGTTCATTTACGATTTTTCGTGTCATTCGTTGTCACATCGACTAATTTTTGAGTATGCAAATGAAGTGAAAATAGTCTCAGAATAAGTTTCCACATTTATACACGTTTAGCAAATAAATAAATACACAATTGTCAAAAATCGTCTGTACAGTAAAAGTGTCCACCTCGAACATACTGATGGCATGCATAGACTAGAGAGCTGTGACCGAGTGTCGAGGGGCCAAGGCGGTCACTCAAATGGGTCCGTAGTTGCTCAACGACGGTCCAGAACCTTGTGCAGGGTGTGAAACAACTACAGGTGTGGCCCCTTCGCCCGCTTGTCATACGTGACTCAACGGAGGTTGTTTCAAAACGTGATGGTGAAGGTGGTGTTGGCTTGCCGATGCGACGCTACCAGCGGGCCCCAACAGCGAGGCGCTCCCAGCCCCGGCGACCACGTATTGAGGTGGAGCTTTTCCAGGCCGATTTTTGATTAGTACGGCGTTGGCTCCTGTGGGGTCGGGCCGGCCGAAGAGCCGTCTCCAGAGCCTTCGCCAGGAGTCGAGAGTCTTGCCCGACCAGATCCAAACTCCAGAGGTGATGCCGACGGCCAAAGCCATGAAGTATTTGAGCATTAGAACTGAATAGATGGGGCGGACTTTAGCACTAGCCATTCGGGAGTCAGAACAGGTGCAAGCTGCCGATAACATCCACTCATTATGGAATGCATTCTCGTATAAGTGACAACCTATTACTATCGATGCTGGAACTGTGTAAAGAACACTGAAGATTCCGATTCGGATCATGAGTTTCTCGAGTTTATCAGCTTTGGAACCAGCGCCGGCACCACCCTGCTTCTTGATCACGTTTCGTATTCGGAAAAGCGACACAAAACCGGCAATGAGGAAGGTGGTACCCAGAACCAAGTAGATAAAAAGGGGTGCGAGGACAAAGGTACGAAGATTTTCCATGTTCATGTTGCCCACGTAACAGATACCGGCAACTGGGTCGCCGTCAACAGCCCCCGAAACAAACACTGCGACGGTTTGTAAAGTCGGGATTAGCCAAGCCGCAACGTGAAAATACTCCGCGTAACTCGCAATAGCTTCATTCCCCCATTTCAAGCCCGCTGCTAGGAACCAGGTGAAGGAAAGCACCACCCACCAAATTGATGACGCCATCCCGAAGAAATAGACCAGGAGAAATACCAGTGAGCAGGAATTTGCTCCCGTGGAGGAGTACCGGATGACCGGTCCTTCACACGCAACCTCTTCGTGACCCACCCCAACGCGAATGAGATAACCTATCGACACCAAAAAATAGCACGCCGATAAGAACACTATGGGCCTCTCAGGGTACTTGAACCGTTCTGTTTCGATGAAGAAAGTTGTAAGAGTCATTAAGGTTGAAGCTGCGCACAGGCTGGACCAGAGTGTTATCCAAACCGTGGTGAACTCTTTTTCGTCCGAGTTGAAGTACGTCGCCCTGCAGGGGGCGGCACAAGTCGCGGGATCTAACACGCTTAGGTTGAACAGTGACGCGTCCTTCCCCAGAGAGACTAGCGGGTGTTGACATTGGCACTTGCAGCCTTTCACCACGCCGCTTTTTCTTCCGTCTCCTGGGGGATTTGTGCAGTTTTTTGACCCTTTGCACTGTTTGGGAGATTTGGCGCGAGGAGGAGGTTTTGCTGTGGTGCTACTACCGTTGTTCTCGTCCATGCAGAGTTGATCCGGAGAAGCCCCATACACGGGGAACTGCTCGCAGTCCATGCGCTCGGGCCATTTGAAGCCGTATTGGGTCATTATGGGCTCGCAGCCCTCACGGGCCCTTTTACATAGCCCTCGACACGGAGGGAGGGGTTTCTTGTAGCCCGGGAGGCAAATGGGGGCATACATCGAACAAAGAAAGAATTTCAAATCCGGAGAACATTTTATTTCGACCAAAGGCCAGAATTGGTGGACTTCAAGGCCGGCTTCTTCTTGCGATTCGTGGTTGAGTTCGTTGGGCATCCGTGTTTGGTTGTAGCCGATTCCCATGCACATGGGGATGGTGATGTCTTCGCATCGTTCTTCTTGATCGCTTCCATCTAAGTGGGATATTAACGAACCGGCTGTCACGCTATTTACCAGGAGTACCACGAGTACCATCAACCTCGTGTACCCCATCATAGTTATTTCACACACTCAACTCCAATTTACACCATTTATTTCTGAACTGTTCTAATGGCAGTAATTTGTTAGTAGTTCACTTTTGTTGGTACCTCTCCTGTCGACTGACGATGAATAGCAAGGCATAGGATGGAGCCATAACACCCTGTAACAATAAATACGCGTCATTAGTACAATTACAGAAAGGAACTGGGATAGCGTTTCATACAATTGAACTCGTCAATCTTCATTAATGCCTTACACTTTGTCGTTTTGAGAATCAAACAAATGTTTTTGGGTTCGTTTGCTTACTAATTTAAAACTGTCGCATAAGAACATCGAAAAGCATTAAAAGTGTAACCTAAATCCCCAAATACAAAGAATCCTTTATATTTGCCCGGTTTTTAAGATGGCAGTGGAAATCAAACTAAAAGCTGAAACATATGTCTCTTCCCAATAGTGTTTGATGAGATATAAAATTAAGCACCGACTAAACCCACGCGCTAATTGAAATGTAGGGTGCGTGACGTCACAGTTTGATCTATTACTATTCCCCTATAAGACGGATGTCAATTAGGTTGAAATTTATTTGGGGGAAATATCCACCATGAGTATTACTCATACCCTGTAGATCAGTGTGCAATATAGTGCATAGAAATGCAGTTATAGGATGTCGAAGCTTGTTTAACTTGAGGGTCTCTCCACGAGAAGATTCATTTTCAATACCGAAATAGCAGGGGTGTGACTCCGTACGTGATTTAACATCCAGTAGTAGAGGGTGTTTTTTACGACATATTTCGCACACACAGTAAAAGCTTTTTAATGACTCATTAAACAATTTTATCGCTCTTTATTCCTGTGTATACAGGAACTGTTAAGAAAACCAATCGGCAGACATTTGAAGGCAAGTTTATTATTCTCCGAAAAAAGGTAAAATTAATTGATATTTGATCCCAGAGCAAAACGGTCGTATTTTATTATAAGTAGGATCAAATCCAAGACTCGCACGGTATGCCCCCATTAAACTACTAAATATTCCAAACTTCCAATTATTGCTCTGAATTTCACTTTATTACTTAAAATTCTAGTACAACGTATTCCTTTCAGGACAAAAAAACGATTTCAAGTAAAACGAAGGATGGGTTTTAATTTCTAAATATTCGTCGTTTTCTTAATTGCCTTAATGGGCACCTACTTTCCATGTATGGGCTGTCAATTTTTCACAATTTCTTACATACAAAAACAATTCGAGTTTAATTAAGGTTTTCACGCATAATATATTTTAATTGTGGTAAAGTAATTATAAAACCTGTCCATTATGGCATTTAAAAGTGATAAAAACTTGTCTAATGAGATAAAAATTTACACGTTTCGGAAAAATGCTGTCATTAGCTTGTTTGAAACACCAGAAAAACATTCGAATTATTTATGGAATTTGTTTGAAGCGTGCGGCTGCTCAGATTTCTAGGTCAAACAATTTTCCACTAAAAAACCGCAAATTGTTAATAAATTACAATATTAAATAGACTATTCGATGCTTTCTAACTTTCATGGAATGTAAATATACCTATTACCCACAGCAATCCCTAAATAATTATGTTAACACGTGCCTAATTTTAAATAAACAAAACTTACAAAATATGTTATTATATCATTATCAGGCATCGGCTTCTTTTATTTTTGCTAATGACATTAATAAGCCAGTAGAAGCCTATAATAATGACCGCAGCAAACAAGTAATCAAAATAGGTTAAAGTTTTTGCAGGCCTTTTTCTGATTGAAGAAGAATGCAATTAGAGAAACCGAAAATCACTTCGAAAGAATCGAAAAACATGCCCGATGCAAATTTTTACGCGGAATATGTCATTAGAAAAAATTGGTAAATCCGCTTCTGTGTAAATATTCCGCGAAACGATCTTGCAAATTTGCAAACGGTAGATCGTAGAATACAAATTAGGTATGTTTGAAATTTTTATCAAACGGTAATGATGCGGAAACAAATTACTTTCCTGATAAACCTGAAATCAGTGCATTCCAAAGTTGCTCAAAGTGACAGATTTAATTATATTCGAATGATGTCTTACATACATACACATTGAATAAATATTTATTTAAATTAGGATCTGTAAGAAAGAACAACTTTAGACCTTGACTCGAGATTATGCCTGTTGTTGGATGAAGACGGTGCTACGGCCAACAATGCCCTGAAATGAGACAAGAAGCAGGTGAGACTTAGAATGCCGAGAGTTTTGTTGCTCTACAGGCTTGATATTCGATTCAAAGAAGTGAAGCTTGTTGGACTTTTTCTCCGGGCAGACTGTTTATACAACACCTTAGTTCAATTAAGATATTGAATTAGATAGTGGGATCTAACCAGTATGATAATAATTTTCGAGTCAGTAAACTCCTGTCGTTTTCTTATTATTACTTAACACTATCCCACTGAATCGAAGCGGTGATTATTCTGTAAGATAACACTCACAGAAACGGTTTTCAATACACAACTCGTTAAACTTATGCAAAAATATGAACGTTTCACGTTTAGCCAGCTTTTTGCTTCATCACGTACCAATTTCTTTGAAATTCGCTACACCTACGTATGGATCGACTTACCGAAGACGCTGATTTGCAAAGCTCGAAGTTGTATGACCGGAAACGACAACTTATACGATTAAGGGTATCTCATGATAAAATGTTCAAACTACCGATCTGTGCTCCAGACAACTTTTCTACTCAATCTTCAGATAAGTAGACTTGTTACACAACATCGATTTTCATTGCTACAAACTTTTATTACTAACATCTCACAATGTTCTGCAAAGTAGTTCATTCCAAATGAGAAAATACGAGTATGTATTTATATATATTTCAATTGGGAGGTTGATGGGACAAGTCAAATATTTGAATTCCATTTGCTATCAAGTACAGCCACCGAAGAACGAGACAAACTACACGTATGTGGAAGTATTTACTGCAAAAGGAAACGAGCCAACGCTTTACGACTATATTTGTGTATGTATGTTTGTGGGTGTTTTAGACGCAGATGTTTAAAACTTTTGGCTTTAAATTCTCGTTGTGTGTTTTGGAACTCGTAACGGGAGTAATGGGACATTTGGTTTTTGTGGTTTGATTATTTATTCTAGCAGCAGTCAACACTGTTGTTATTGCTTCATTTTTACCGAGGGCATTCGGAAATGGAACAACTTGGGGCGGTTAAGGTTATTTATGTCCTCTTTATTAGCTTCGAGATTAATAAAACTTTTGATTTCGTTTCATTTGTGGTTTGATAACGAAAATCAAATAAGGAAGTTATTCAGACTTAACATATTTAACCACTGTTTACAAAAATAATAACAATTCCTAAAAACTGATAGTGTGTAGGAAATAGACAAATATAATATTTCCTCAAAACATTTACAGTATCAATCAAAAATGATATATCGTCTAAAGCAAACTAATTGTAAACTAGTTCGTCTATAAAAAATTGTTTCATGACAGTTAAATTTTTAAAGGCAACGTTTTTGATAGCTGTCTGGATTGTTTTTTAATCCTAAGTTCTATTTAAACCAAAACATATTTTGTAAGTTATAGGTAGGTATAATGTACGAGAGTAGTAGGTAATTTGCAAAAGTTGGTCAAGAAAAAAAATTTTTTCAGGTGATGCAATTTTGATGATATTCGAGTATTTATACCATTTCTGTCACTAATTTGGATCAGAAATTTTATTGAACGCTTGGTATATATCTTTAGAAGAACCTTGTTAAAGTTCTGCCCGTTTTTCCATAGGTTGTTTATTGGTTTAACTCAATTTAATTGTTTTCCCACTTGTTGTTATGTCGTGTACCTCTTCTTTTCTACACGAACATTCAGTAGACTGTCAATAGTATTTAATCTAGATTTAATCACAGTTTACGACTGCGATGGCTGTCATGTTCATGCCAACCACTTTCCAATTAACCCAAACCAGAATTTAAATTAAATTCTTGTAGAGGTGTAAGGAGCTAACAAAGCAAAAAAGACTATTGCAAATAAACGTCATAAATCTAGAAAATCAGTGAAATCGTTAAAATTAATCGCAGATTTTTTCAGTAATAATCAATTAGCGACGGTAAATGTTGACATAAAAAACTCCAGGCAAATTATACTGATGATTTATCACACCTATATTACAGACGTTATAGACCTATAATTACCAGCGAGATCGTTTCAAGCGTATAATTTTTAAAAGGGATACTACCATTATAGTGACAGAAGCTATTTATTTAAATCAGTGGATTATAAAGGTTTTGAAAATGTCTTCGTCGATATCTTCTTTGTCGACCTCACCTCAATCTGTCACATCTTCCACGTACCCCACCCACGCAACCCATCTAAAAGCGCCTCGTTTTTATTCGAAAACAAAAACGGTCACCCACGAATAAAGACAATCATTATCATTTCTTTGTTCTTCAGCACAAACTCGTTTCACCCGGAATCGTACTCCTAATCCAAACAAAGTGGAAGGAGTCGGCATTAAAAGCGTCTTGTTTATAATATTAAAAACACCTGTTCCTTTTTTTTTTCGACAGTAAGAATTCGAGAAGTGGGTACTCGACTTATGATCACGAATATGTACTTACGAAACACAAAAGCCTCCATTCGCTTATATGCCACAACAGATCTTGCAGAATCACCCACTTAATCTTTGACAGACACTTTGTTGGGCGTGTTGGACAAATAAAGAACTGAATTTAATTTAAATAAGACGAAAGACGTTTGCCTGCTCGTGAGACAGGATCGGCTTTACTGCATTTTTATATGCCTTTGCCTCAGTTTAATTACCTCACATACCCACGGATTAGATATCAGCTCTGTATGTGAAACTAATTAGTTTTACAAGACTGGTTTGACACTTCGGTGACAATACAATTAACAAGTTTATACGAGTTATAAATTACCTTTTTTGAAATGCGCTTCAAAAAGGTAAAAATTTTCAGATGCGTTTATTTGTACACAGGGGAATGACTCCTGAATACGAGAATTTCTTGTTCCAACTAAATTATCTTCAAATCCGGCTCTGCTTAACGAAACAGCATGGGGTTCTAGCATACATCGCACAGTCGAGAAGTTAGTAGATGCAAGCTGGTTTCGCTGGCCCTTGTCTCAGGGACACTTTACGTTCCTGAT